ACCCTCTTGTCTAAGAGCTTACATTCTGTTGGGAGAGACAAACAATGAAGAAGTAAACAAGTTATTGTTATGATTGATAAAGGCTATGAAGAAAATAGAATCAGGGTAATGTGATAGAGTTGGCTGGGGTTTGGGTTTCCATATAGTTAGGGTGATCATAGAAGGCCTAAGGCTACAGTGATCTCTAAAGTGATGCTGATTGGTTTTCCAAAATATATCCCAAATCTGTCCTTTCCTATTCCTCTCCCAAGTAAGATGATGTTGTGTCTTAGAGCGCAAAGGCAGCCTGTTCACTGACATCCCTGCTACCAAAATACCTACACCTACAGTCCCTCTTTCTCCACACAGATCCTTTGAGTCAGGAGATTTCAGGTTTCATGGGACTTCCTCCCTTATTTTCCTCATATCCATCTGCCTTCTCAGCTGTGGTTGGTGAAGTTTAGGTGTAACATGTGCTACTAACCCAAGTGCATTCTGATTACACAGAACAACAAAAAATTACATCTTCCACTCAACGAGCTGGGAGCTTCAATTCTGAGATCTACTGCCTTCAAAGGCAAATCTCCATGACCCTTTAAGAGGCTGCTGGGTTATGTAATCTAGACTGCAGCTTTTGAATGTTCTGATACAATAATTACCTATGTATTAAGAATGGGAATGGGGTAATCTTATGTTTGCTCTGACATTTTGGCTTTAGATATGTTTGTTGTTTTCTGAAGTGATTGCTAATGAAAAATATAGGTATCTAATTTTTAATCAACAAGCTTTCCTTGACATCCTGCTTCCTGATGTGAGGCAGCACAGTAAATGGTGATGGGTTTTCTCCAACCTATTACTGGAAGGAGAGGGCAAGTTGAAATTGCTCAGCAATAACAATTTCTATTTCAAACCATGTCCTTTTTATTCTTTCATAAATTTCTCAGAGTTCCAGGCCTCCATCTATTGAAAACAGACTTGTGTCTATAAGGTTTTCTTTTGAGTAGACGACTTATCATCTTTTGTTTAACAAAGCTAAATGGAAGGCAAAAAAATGAAGGGAAAGCATTTCTAAGCAGTATTTAGCTGTGCACTTACAGCTGAAATCTGAAGCTCCTCTAATACAAAAGTATTACCTGCAGGCTAAGATATCTATGTTGTACAACTGCAAACAGCAGTTGAGGTCTTTGTTTCTATTTGTCGACTCACAAACTCCTGAGAAACGTGTTGGTTCCAACAAAGACAGCTGTCTAGCTTAGGTGTCTTAACTCCTAGGTCTTTTTCCCAGCTCTGCCCCTGAAACCCAGACTGGCCACGGGCAGGAGTGGGCAGTTTGGCTTTAGGAGTGTGACAGCTCTTCCTACCACACTAAGCTTCTTAGCATTTCATTTGTATTATTATGAAAATCCACGGCCTCCAATTTCCTCTCTCCTGGCCCTTTGTATCTAACACCCTGATGATGTACCCTTTTTCTTTTTCTTTTTTTTTTTTTGGCGATGGAGTCTCACTCTGTCGCCCATGCTGGAGTGCAGTGGTGTGATCTGGGCTCACTGTAACCTCTGCCTCCCGGGTTCAAGCAATTCTCCTGCCTCAGCCTCCCGAGTAGCTGGGGCTACAGGTGCACGCCTCCACGCCTGGCTAGTTTTTTGTATTTTAGTAGAGATCGGGTTTCACCTTGTTGCTCAGGCTGGTCTTGAACTCCTGAGCTTAGGCAATCCACCCACCTTGGCCTCCCAAAGTGTTGGGATTACAGGCGTGAGCCACTGTGCCGGGCAATGTGCCCTTTTCCTAAGTATTAATGGATTCACTCAGACTTTCAAAGCCCAAAATCTAGTCATGCCTTTTGAAGGAGATTGGTGACAATGCTTATGGACTCCTCTTTTGCTGCTTCTTTCCACATGGATGGAATAGTGAAAAAGATAATTAATACATTAATCCAAATTAAATATTTAAATTTTTAAAATTTATATTAAAATAACGTTCAGTAAATAAATTTATAATTTACCGTAATAATGGCCACTCTTCCTTGAGCTTCCCCAACTTGCTGCCTTGCTAAGTGCTTTATACATTCAATTTAATGCACTGTTATGATTATGCTATGTATGAATGTATGTGTATGTGTATACATATTATTCTGATGACATAGTACCTTATGATTTAAAGCATTATATTATGTTGATGAAAATATATAGACAATAATGTATACATAAAATAACTTAATGCATCTTGTTATCATTCACATTTTCTTTTTGGTAAAATAGGAAAAACGCCTATCTCCCAGAGCTGTAATCTTAATACTGAGATATTACTTGTTCAAAGTGCCTGGCATATAGGTACAGTTCTACCTCAATAGAGCTATTATTGCTATGATTTTGCTCTTGTGGTTCTATCATTCTTAATTCATAGATGAGGAAACTAAGTTTCATAGAAATTAACTTGCTTCAAAAGTTCATGTATAGGACAGGGCTCAGATTTGAATTCAGAACTGAAATCCTAGTTTACATGTCCTTTTTCTTTCCACTTTACATCTCAGCATTTTGATTGTTTTGTTTCACTGAGGCATGTGCCTTTTTGATTGCATTCTTTGCCTTAAAAATGCTGTGTTTTCATTTATTTTTCTTTCGCTATTCCACTTGTTTCTTTCCTAGCACTGTATTTGATATTTCCCAATGACTATGCTACTCACCAGGGTAACCCCTGGGTGTGTGAAGGGGGGATAAGATTAGGAAATAACCTAGGAAGCTTCTCCTTTACCTCACCTTACCTGATTTCTTACCTCCTATCCCTATCTGAGGATTTTGCATTTATCTTGTGTTATATTTACCAAAATGCATGTTCTTATTTAAGTTGCAATTGTAGAAAACATACAGTCTTACAATTCTATCAAACATGGGACAAAATTTTTTTTTTAATTTTTGTTGTTTTCATGGTTATCAATAAAACTGCAATGAGATATGATTACCACATATGCCAGAGGACTCAGGGCTAGGACTGGAATGAAGTAAATGAGGTGCCTATGCAGAAAAATATAAGGAGACCCTTTCTCTCAATTTAATCAACGTGGACGGTCCACACCTCTGAGTGAGTGTCTCCTTAAATTTTGAACCACTGGAGCTCCACTTGCCTCTGGCCCAGGCACTGAAAGAATTCTCCAGGAATTTTTAATTTTATTTTATTTTTTAACTAGAATCAAAGGTTTGTTCCATTACTCCCGGATTCAGAAGAAGGACACTTCATTATTTTGGCTTTTTCTTAATTATGGACTTAACTGGTGGCCTTCCTGGAATTTGCTATGGTATGAGAACAAGTTCAAAATCAGGCAATGCTCTAGTAAAGGCCAGGTGTTCAAAGTATCATAAACAGCTCTCTAAAGATTGGAAAATGAATATTTAACTAGATGACTACATTTGATTTCCTTCATTCATTTTTTATTATTTCAGTGAAAACCTTCATGATGGAAATCACATTGACAGGATTTTAATATCTTCTGGTAAATGAAACCTGCTATTCTAATGGGTTTAGTATTTCTTTACAATGCCATTTGGTAAACCCTGATGACCAGTAATTTTCTCCATAGTTACAACTTAGGGAATTCTGTGCAGATTGTACATCATGGATACAAAATATGTCTTACGAGGTTGATAATTATGATGAAACTAGTTATATTAATTAGGTCCTGTTTACAAAGAGTCTGATGATTTTTTTTAAGAAGGAGAAAAAATAGCCTCAACTGCAGAAGCTTTAAGTGCTTAATTATTGTTATTTTCTTTTCAGAAGCGAAGGGAACGATCACGCTCATCAAAACAAAGTTCTGCAGAGGGTTTTAGGTTCCTGTTTGAAAAGCTAGGCCCAAGAAGCAAAGCTCTTTAGAGCTAATATTCATTAAAAATTAGCAGTTAGTACAGTTACCTTGGAAATAGTGGCCAAAACATCTGCTTTTTCATTTCCATTGTGTTTCTCTTGTGATTGTAGTTCTGGAAACTCTAATGCAGATAGAGTGAGAAATATTTTAGAGCTCCAACATCAGATTTTGCTAAATAGGTATTTTCCAATTATCACAATTGACAGTTTTCATCTGATTGCCTGTCAGAACTCAGACGAAAGTCCCAAAGCAATTCAGGAACCTGATAAAATCATCAGGTGTCTCTACACTTGTGTCTAGTCCTAAATATTTGCCTTGTCACCTTCATTCTCAGGTTTATACTTGGAGAAGGCCGAAATGTAATTTTCTTGTGTTTATTGTTTTAATTTGTGCTACCAACATTAAAAGAAATTCACAAGTGTGTTATGGTGGCATGTTGTAAATTCTCTTAAGATTCTCATGTAAGATTGAACCCAGTAGAAAGACTTACTCATGAGATAGCTGACTTAGAGTAAGGTGTCCTGTTTTGCAGTTTTCACAATGTTTGCCCATTGCATTTCTTTTCAGTGAATTGAATTAAGTCCAAACCTAAGACAAATAATGACTTCTGATTATCTGTCTAAATGATGAAATGACATGAATACAGCCACTCAACAGAGAGACAGACAAATAGCTTGTGTGACCTTTGGGAATAAAGCAAAACTATTAAAAGCAGAAGTTTTTTTTTTTTTTTTTTTTTAAGTATTTTCTCTTTACTTCCATATCATGTTTGTTAATGGTTACAGTGACACGCGTTGCATTTCAGAATTTGCTCGAATCCTCATGGAAGCAGCAACTGAAACAGAAGAAAAATGGCTCTATCGGGTTAATCTAGGATTTTCAAACTGGGTTTAGATCAAAAAAGAAGTCCAAGGTTTTCCAGTGAATGGGGATCTTGGTTTTATTCATATAAAGCTCTTCCATCACCCACTCCAGCATGATGCTTCTGAAATGCAGAAACCTGTCACTTCTGAGATAAACCCACTAATCCACCTATGTCCTTGGCATTCTCTGTGTTCGGTGGGCAGATCTTTGTGGTGTGGATATTTCCTATCACTTATTCTCAGTGCTACCTTTGTGTCATAAGCTGATAGCTTTAGCTGGTGCTTTTCCTCTCTTCCAGATTCAACGAAGACTTCCAGACAGCTCTGCATGGTGTTTAGAGAGCAGCCCCCTGTTGAAGCTCTTCTGTAAGTAATCCCCAGGAATGACAGCACATGTGTCATAAAACTAAAGAGTCACTACTGTGTTCACCCAATCAAAGTATTGAATTCTTGTTTCTAAGTGAATATGCAAATCGACAGTAACTTCATTTGTTATTTTACTTGTTCTTAGTCAGAATTGTAACCTTTCTTGCTACTCACATACATGAAAAAAAAAAAATGCATGTACTTATCAAAATACAAACAGCTGCTTTTCTCTCCTCCCAGGCTAAGTTAGTTACCCGGGTCCCTCATTACACTCTCAACTTGCCACTTATCATAATTCTCCTTACTCATCAGTTTCATCTCTAGTCCAGGAGCTGCTTGCTGATAAGACAGTGTCTTGTTCTCATATTCATTTTTTAACCCCCCATTGTCTGATGTACAGCTGCTTAAGGGAAGTTATTTAAGTGACTGAATAAACAAATGATAACAGAAAACTTTTTAAAAAATTATATCAATATCCATGAGCAGACCTAGATATAAAATCTACCATCTATGACGCTGTCGAGTTTCAATTTTGTGTGTTCACAGTTTTTACTAGTGTGATCTTTTTCTTTGATTTTCAATCTAAGCCATCATCATGACTTGGCTACACTATCAGATGAGCCCGTGTCGAGGTTCCCTTTTGCTTCGTTGCATCTATTGCCCTGGACCAGGAAGGGCTATCGTGGAGGGAGCCCTGATGTGTTCTAATGAGCCTCTGTTTCAGAGCTGGTAGCTCTCACCCTGAGAGTTCTTCCTGTCACCCAGCGTGTTTCAGCCTAAGTGTTAGCCAGTTGGTGAATGAGACTTTGGAAAACTTCCAAGCCATAGTTAATTATGTGCTTTCTCGAAACTTGACTGTCCTTACCATCTTCATGGATGCCTTCTCTCTATTTAGTAAGCAGTTTGTTTTGCTTTTTTTGGACATCTAACCCTATTTACAGTTTTCTTTTATAAAATAGAAACGTGCCATAGTACCGAGGCAAATTACACATTGCATTAGATTTGTTCAAGCTCCAAAAAGGCAGTGAGATAACATATGTAACAGCACTCTGAAAAGTCTAAAAACTCTTACAACTAATGTATTATTTTTTATTAGTATTTTCTTTTTAATAAATGCTTGAGAATGTCTAGTTTTTAAACCTGTAACATTAGACATTTCTGTGGTTTTTTTTGGTGAGGATTTAATTAGATTTTCTATTCTTTTTTTTTTAACACCAAATAGGTTGCTTGCACATATGTATGCTTTCTACAGATTTATAGCTCCGTGTGTGTGTGTGTGTGTGTGTGTGTGTGTGTGTGTTTTCTTGGTGTTTCAGTTCTTTCCTTTCATTCTGGTTTTGCTTATTCATGCCTACAGAGGATAAACTTTATGATAAAACTGATACTTCAACTTAAAAAATGACAAGTCTGTGGGATTTTCGGGGGGGAAGGGTGGATGGGCAGGAAAAAGAACAAGCTGAGGAAAAATTAAATAGTTCCCAAAGAGCATTTTACGTTCTGAAATATAATCCCAAAGGAAACTGCTATAATGTAAAAGAGTTAGGATAAGAACTCTTGATGTTAGATACGTATAAGCTATGGTCAGAGGAGGTAAGAAATTGATGAGTTGCAGATAATATCAGCTGCTGTCTTGGAAAAAAATCTCATGAGTGAATTCTGAAATGGAGTCCTCTGTTGGACATATACTTTAGCAGCCTCAATATTATTGATCTATTGAAGACAAAGAGGAAAACGTTCTGATCGGTATGCTAAGAAGAGTGTGCTTCCTGGGGAAGGCAGTCTCATGCTCCTAACTTTTCATTGCAATTCTGAAGCCCACCTGGGAAGACAGGTTTGAATTATTAAATAAACTGAGCTTTCTACACTTGAAGCAAAATTTTCAATATTCTTCAAATTTTACAATATCTTGTTTGTTGATACACATTTCCCCCTCCTGTTTAGAGACAGAAAGAAAAATAATTCATGTAGGAGTGAGAAAAGTTATCCATGACACTAAAATTCAGTTGAATATATTAAGGTATAATTTAGGTTTTAGACAAGTCTTAAGAATTGGTTGCAGAATTTGAATGGCTGGCCTGCTATTTTATATTATGTCAATCCCAAAATAATCCACAGAGAAAATTAATGTTGTTGTTAATATTTTATATCTTTTTGGTTAGATATGCTGGTATAATGATAATTACGTTTTCAACTCATACATGGAGTCTTTTCACTTAAAACATCCTGTTTTCTTGTTATGACATGAATTTAATCTATTTTAAATCCAGGAATAAAGTACAAAATATAGCATAGAGGAATAAGTGTTTCACTTTCTTGGAAGATACTCCAGCTATTAAGGTGAGGGTTTTGGAATAACACAGGCCTCAGATAATTCCTGACTTTTCTAACCATGTAATCTGGGCAAGCTATTTAACATCTTCAAATTATGGTCTCCCAACCTGTAAAATGGGAATAAAAATTGAATCCATCTGATGAGTTTGTTATAAAAATTGGACCAGAAAACATGCGGAAAACATGTAGCAGTGTCTGAAATACTCTGAATATGTTGGATATTCACACTGTCTATATAGGACAAAGTAAAAAAGATAAAAAATTGTTTGACTCAAATACTATGAAGCCTTGCTCAGTCAGTAAGATATGTCCAAAATAGAATCTTCTTTCTTTTATGGTGATAAGTCTGTAAACATATTTTGATCCCACTTTTCTTTGGGTTGGAAGTCAGGCCTGGCATCACATAAGTTCCAAGAGAGATAGAGGTGTGACGAGGTCTCCTTTCTGCTTTCACTGGAGTGCTCATTAGTGCCTGCTAATGAGAAAAGCTTAGGTCGGAAGCCAAAGAGAATATACCCTCAGTGTGGGAAATGGGAGAGGTCAAAAGGCCAAGGTGGGAAACCAGGGACCCAGGTCAAATCATGATGGTGGAAAACCCAGTGTCAAGAATTAGGTGGCCACAAGCAGAAGGTGCACCTTCGCAGAGAAGAGAAATGAGCACATTGTCACGGCTGGAATGAATTAAACCAGTGTGTTCCTTGACACCAATCAGAATATCATTAGAAGGGTCTCCTCTGGAGTTCAGGCAAAAAATTAATCTGAGGCATAAAAATGTTTTGATGCTAGATAATAGAAAAATATTGTTTTCAAAGCAGTATGCCTATATTACATGAAAATATTTGTCAAATGGAATGGGAAGTAGAGGTAGGATCATGTTACAAATTGTAGTTGAAATCAAAAGATCCTGGTTTAAGATAGATAGGTATTCTTTGGTGTACCCATGAATGCTTATAGGCCTTGCAAAAACAGATCCCTCAGTTCATGTCTGGGTTTAATTCACTCACTCATTCTTCATTCATTTTTTCACTCATTCCTTATTTTATTCTGTTAGATAACATGGTCATGCTATGATCTTTTTCTGTGAACTTTTTTATTTTCACCTTCATAAGCTGACATATTTCTTCTGCTTTATTTCTGTTTTTTCCTGTAGCCAAGACAGAGAAATAGGTTCCCTATTCACAAACCATGTGATCACTGGTATTGTGTATATCTTTGTGGTATCACGCTTGCCCTCTGAAATCCAGTTCTTCTCCACCCAACAATCAGAAAGATATCTGTAAAACATGCACCCTGAGGTGCTGCCTGCTCTGCAGCCTAACACCTGTCATTCACTTTCCCATGGTCTCAGAAGAAAATATAGACTTATCTTCCTAGGCCCTAGACATACCTGCATGATTCTACTCTTGCCTGATTCTTGATCCCCATAGCCTACCCCTCTCCTGCTTGCTAACCACTCTCCACACAGCATGAATGAGTCTCTGTCTCTTCCTGGAATATTCCAGCTCTTCCTCAACCTAAGATGTCTGTGTCTGTCTGCTCTTCGCCTGTGCTTCCCACAGTGGACTTGTTTTCATCCTTCATTCATAGCTCAGACATCTCATAATTAGAGAAGACTTTTTTGAGTAGCGTATGTTAGTCATCACCCCATTTATTGTTTTTATAATAGCATCTATCACAATGTATTATTTTTGTTTATTGATTTAATTACTTTATTATGGTCTCTTTTGATCCCATTAGCAAGTAAACTCCATGAGATTAAAGATTTTTTCTGTTTGCATTGTGACTCTATCCCTACGAGTCAGGAAAAAAAAAATGGTTGGGAGATGGTAGGTGATCAATAATATTTTTTTAACAAATGAGTGAATAAACCAACAGTCTTGTTGTCTTATTACTGTCCTTGCTCATGATCTTCCTTCATGCTTTGCATTATTCCATGTTTATTGAGGACCTGTCATGTGAAAGGAAGTTGGATGCTGGGGACATCCAGATTAATAATCACTTGGATTCCTTCCCTTTATGGTGGGGTTAACACATGGGCAGCTGCTTGCCTTGGTGAATCTCTGGAATGCTAAGTAAACAAAAATTCTGGGGCTGTGTCTCAACTCATGAAAGGATGCCAGCAGCATAAAGAGGGAAGAGAAAATACTCATGTCAGACGTACCACACCTGCTTACCAAAGTAACAAATAAACACATTTGCAAAATTTTTTTGTAGGAAAAAAATGACCTTTTGTTAGTTCCTCTTATGTGCCATGCCACCTTTAGCCACAGAACATTTTTGCACACATGAAAATGACTCTGCTCCCTTACCCCCTCATGCCATTTTCCCCTCTCACTCCTCCACAGGGTCCCTTCACCTCGTGGTCATCCTTCCTGTCCCAAAGAGCTCTTCTTCAGGGATTCATCCTTTGACACCTCCCCACCCTCCCAAGACTAGCTAATTCTGTCCTACACTTTTCATGGCCCTCTGGACTTCCTCTTTAAAGCACTTAGTGACTGTACATGTATCTGTGTCATTAATTGGTGAATGCCTGTCTCTCTAGGTGGACTGTAAACTCCATGAGGTCAAGTCTGTTTTTATTTTGCTCACTATGTCTGATACCAATGATATGGGCTCACACTATGTGTTTCCCTTGAAGACTCCTTGTTAATAGAATATTATATTCATCC